CTGGGGCTAGTGGGGCACATTCGCATCCCTTCGCCCCTTTTCTGGAGGTGGCGTTACTTTTTGCGTTACTTTTCGTGTCACTTTCTTGTATATAACCTTTTCTGATGGTTTATATTGCAGGCCATTTTTTGCTAGCTACAAATAGCTTAGCGGGGGATAGAATAACCGGAAAATGATGCTTTTAATGTTGTGTGGTTCTTTAACCTGTTTTTTTTTTGCTGCTTGAGGAAAGCCAGAGAGAGAGAGAGAGAGAGAGAGAGAGAGAGACAGAGACGGAGAGAGCAAATTTTACGCATTCCCTAGCGTTTCCAGTTTTAAAATTTTAGAGATAATCTCAGGTCCCCAAAAGCCGTCTGATGTCATCAGGCGCGCATTAAAGGGATACCCAAGGTTTTGGCGGCAAATATATAGTTATGGATTCCGGGCAGTACAAATGACGCGCGAATTTTGTGCGGCAATGGCGGGCCATGGCCGCACAGAATTCGGACACCCTTCCCACTTGTGGCTTCCCCATCCCACCCCATGGCTTGCCACTATGGCCTAATGGATAGTAGCCAGGCCTACAAAACGGGGGTCCCGGGTTCGACCCCCGCCCGCGGCATGGTTTTTGCTTTTTGAGCCCCGAAAAGGTTGGGCATCCCTTTAAAGACCCTTGGAAAGATGGCCGGGCGTCCCCAGGGGTGAGGGACCGACGGGGCGATACCATGCACGCTTTCCATCGCGTAAGAGCCCCCAAAACCCCGTCTGGGTTTCAAGAAAACAGATTTATAGCTATAACTTTTTTGATTGACGATATTTTTGGCCAGAAACTTCCATAGAAATAGTCTTTAGCCATCCCCATCGATGGCAAAAATTTGAGGCTGATTGGATAGAAGACAGCCATGTTCTGAGCGGAAAGAGGTTTCTGGGACACACTTTAGTTGAAAAAATCGTCAGTAAGGGCATAAAACACTCCAGGGAACATGGGGAATCCTTTGCTTTCCTTTAGCAAGCTTTTCTATAGCATTTTTTGTTATTATTATTTATGGATAGCTTTATTTTCAATTGTTGCCCAGTAAAGCGCACCAATGCACCCCTAGGGTATTTGGGGGCCCTCCGCCGCCCAAACCCACTCGCCCCCTTTGGTCTGGGGGGTAGCGCGTTGGACTGCTCAGCGGACCATCCCTGGTTCGACCCCCGCCCGGTGCGCCCTTTCTTGCGTTTTGACCAATCCCATCTTTCCAGGGGCCTTTAAATAAGCCGTGAAAATCTGGGGTACATCGTATTTTATCCATCTATTTCTCTCTCACTCACTGGCTCTCTCTTCTCCCTCCCTCTCTCTCCCTCTCGGTTTGTCTCCCTCTGTCTCTGTCTATGTCTCTCTCTCTCTCTCTCTCTCTCTCGCTCTCTCTCTCAGTTTCTCTCCCATCCTTCCAACGTCACAATATGTTCTTCTCCTCTCATTTTCCATCCATATTTCAGAAGCCTGCCCCCTTTCTGCTTTTCCATGTTCCCCCCGATTCGAAATGTCGTGGGTGGGCCCCATTTTTCCGCCCTGGTGGGGGGGGGCACAGCGGCGGCTTTCCGCCTCGTTCACTTCTAAATTAGAATGGCTCTAGCTAGGGGGAAAAGCAGGGAGCAGGGAAAGGGGGGAAAAGAAAGCCGATGTCCTTCGAATATTCTCACGGCTCCGAGGGCACCGGAGCTATGGTTTTTGGGCGTGTTTGCACCTTATTGCGGTCTCTACGCGATTCATACCTTACCACGATGCGCACCGGGAAACGCGAAATCGACCCCTTTACCTCGACTGGGTCTCGACTTCGCTTCGTGCTGTTTTTAACGATTGCCAAACACCTGACCAAAAATTATCTGTGCGTACTTTACTCCTAAACCCTACTCTAACAACTGTAGGACTCTTAAAAGTACGAAAACGCACTTTAATGTCACGCGCAACTCTCTGACGACACCAAGTCCATGAAAACTTTTGATTCTAAGACTTTTTAGTTTTTTTACGCTGCGCTTCTGTACTGATAATGAGCCCATACTCCAAAAGACTAGGCTGAAAAGTTATATAAAATCGGGTAATATTCGTTAAAATTTACGACACCTGGATTTAAGACATCTTCTTCATTTAAGGTATAGTCTTGTAATTTAGCTTAAGTTCTTGATAATAACTTTTGCAGGGTAATTTTCCCTCTAATGCCAACAATTTTCTGAAAGAGCGGCGACCTTCAATTTTCATAAATTACCCTGGAGGCTTTTCTCTAGCTTTCTCTCTCCCTCTCTCTCTTGCTCTCTCTCCTCTCCCTTCCTATCCCTCTCTCTATCGCTCTCGCCTCTCTCTCTCTCTCTCTCTATCTCTCTCTCTCTCTATCTCTCTCTCTCTCTCTCTATCTCTGTCCCTTTCTCCAATATTCATTTCCAGGGTATGACCTACTAGAAGAAGAACGTCCAAATCACCAACCTCCTTCTAAAAAATGAGCGCCTTCTCCGACATCTTCAAGAAGGCCCAAGACGCCATCAGCAATTTGAGGGGTTGGTTTTAAAATCGATTTAGCGTATTAAATTTTATAATTTTTAACTTACCTTTAAAAATCCAGTCCACCCAAGCACATCAGCCGAAATAGGTACCGGTAGATTTGGTTTTTGAGCGCAAATATACCCGTGATAATCCCCATAGTAATGCGGCCTGTGGATTGATTGAGTTTTGTGCGTAGAGATTGGATCTAGATTTGTAAATTTCATTATTTTACATACTTTTAGGAGGCGGCAACATCTTCTTGGGACGTGATGGCGACATTGTCTACAGCAAGAACAACGTCTGTGTGCACGATATTCTTGGGGAGGAGGAGGTGAAACCTGGGGTAAGGTTTTGAGTTCGGCTGCAGTTTTTTCACTTTTAAAGGGACAGACGAGGCACAATAATCGATTTTTTGGCAACGGATTTTCGATGGATTTTGTCCCGGTCGCGACACGCAACGCGCGAGCGATTTTTCCAGCGTCTAGATTCTTTCTCCATGAGAAGCGATCGCGTGCGTAGCGTGCCGCGGCCCCAAGCGTTACGTGTGGCGGCTGGCACGTTGCCTGCCGTTTGGAACGTCGCGCGTCGTGTTCCCGCGCGACGCGCCTCACGGTCTTGCGCGCCTGGCGTGCCGCGGTATCACGCGTGGCGTTCCGCGTCGCGGTGCCGCGTCATGCGTGTCGCGGCCTCGAGCTTACGCGTCATAGTTTCGCGCGCTGCACGTCGCGTTTTTGCGCGTTCCGTGTAACGATCTCGAGCGTTGCGGGTCGCAGCCGCACGCCTTTGTGGCCTAAATTGGCGCGCTGCGTCTCGCGTTCTCCCGCGTTGCGTGTGGCGTTCTCCCGCGTTGCGTTCGTACTCCCTCGTTGCCTATCGCGTTCTCACGCGTTGCGTGTCAGGTTTTCGCGCGATGCATGTCGGGGTCCGAACGGCTAGGAGCCACTCAGCGACCCGATCACCCGACTATCCTTTGAAAGCTTCAAATACGAGAGAGATCCGCGCATTAATTTAATCGAAAGAATCTCTAAATGGTAATTTTCATAATATTTTTTTAGGAAGAAAACATCATCCACACGCCCGGCTACCTCTCCGTGCAATGCCAATCGGATGAGACGATCGGGGTGACGCTCGTCTTGCAGTGGCTACCAAACACAACGTTGCAGAAGAATCCGGCAAGGTATCGAATTTTAAGGAATATTCTTACGGTCTTAGGGTGCCAAATACTTTTCTGAAAATGGCTTATGAATCAAAAAAAGCGAAAAATACCTTAATTAATCCAGGGTGAAGCCGCAATTACGGTAAAGCAAATAGCTAGCGCTGTAAAGCTGTTAGCGTATCCTTTTAAAGGGCCAGGCTAGGCATCGTTATGGTTTGTTTATATCGAATTGCCGTGCGCTGTACCGCGATACGCAATACGCAAGCGGACACAGGATATATCCAGGAAAATTCGTAGCCAAAAAATCGATAATTATGCCTTGTACTTCCCTTTAAAAACCATTTCCAGGCACGAGGAATACCTAAGCTTAAACCTTACCCCAGGCTTTTAAAATCCCACTGCATATGCAATTTTCAGAATTTTTAAAAGCATTTTGTTAATTTTTCGAACGCCATTTTAGCATCCGCAGCGTCTCCCCGAGAAACAACGACGGCAAGAAGCGCAGCAATGATGTTTTTTCGGTGAGTCCTGTTTTTTCTTAAGGGGATTCCCCGTCTGGTGGGCTATTTAGCGGGGGACTGGTGGGCTATAAATAACAATGGTATCCGCCAATAATGACGAATAAAGGGGAGCCGTTTAGCCGATACACGTCTCCGCCGCAGACACCGGCGATAATACGCCCAGCACCGAGATTACGGATGAGACTACGGTAGGTGGGGGAGGCGTGAATTTTAGGGAAGTGTGAGACGATACAAAGATAGAAAAAACTGTGAGTGAGAGATAGATAGAGAAAGAAAGAGAGAGACAGAGAGAGACAGAGACAGAGAGAGAGAGAGAGAGAGAGAGAGAGAGAGAGAGAGAGAGAGAAAGTAGGAGTGAGATATAGAGAGAGCTAGTGAGAAAGAGAGGGAGAGAAAGAGAGAGAGAAAGATAGAGAGAGAAAGAGAGCGCAATACAGAAAGCTCAAAACTTTTATTGGCCTGAAGCCCTACCTCTAAACCTCAAAATCCAGAATCGAGATCAAATCACAACCGCTTAGAACCGCACGCCGCGAAAGGGCCGGTCAAGGCCGGACAAGCTAGGTCGTTTCTGGTAGCTTTTGAAAGGGGCAGTGTCACCAAAGAAATCTGTTTCTTTTCATAAAATACGGTCGTTTTCCTGCCATTTTGCGCTCGCTCATCAATATGCCTGGATTCCCAGCAAGTCTTAACCATTTTGCTTGAATACCGAAGCTCAGTCCCAACATGCCATGTTTATAAGAATCATTCTGCGATATGCTTGCTTTCTTATCCCATTTGTCGTAATTTCCAGTCGTCCCCGAACTCGCCGGAGCTGCAGGTCGAGATGACGGGCGACATGATTACGGTGATGCAAATTACGGAACGTCCGACTTCGCTACACGTACGTAAGGATACGCCGACTATCCGGTGGTGTAGGTGGAGCATGGCGCAACTTTTTATATTTTTGCTAATTTCTAACCCAAGCTAGAAAAGTTACTAAAAGTGTCGAGAAAACAGAAGTTTAAGAAAAAGTGGTCAAATTGTCGTATTCTTTTTTTATTCTAAAGTTTAAGCGTAAGCGAAAAATGCGGAAAACAAATCGTAAAATAATAGTTTTCAGAAACAAATTAACATTATTTAATTTGTAAGCAACACAGAAGCTAGATACGGTCTTGCAGTACAGCAAAACCTACGCTACGATGTGCGACACTACGCTACGATACGCCTCTCAATTTAGAAAAGACCACACGGACCCAAAACTGCGACGCCAGCGATTGGAATCCCGGATTCGGGAGGTGGCGGAGGATTGGGCGTACCATCCATCAATCTGATCCCAAATACCCCAGTGGATCCGTCTACCTTTGACGATGAGAATTGTCTCGTCGTGAGGACCCCGGATGTTACAGTAAGTGGCTTTAGACCCTGAAATCTTCCTATTTTTGCCTACAGTTACTGGCTCTATGTTTTCTTCGTTACGTTTTAATTATCAGCTTTTAAAACTATATTTTAATATCTGTTCCTTTATTACGCGATAAAATCGATACCTTTGACTTGTCCGCCCTCCGTTGCAAACCCTCTGTTTTAGTGTGAAAACCTTGATATCCTGGTAAGACTCCCAGTAGATGATGCTTTTTTCAGTTCTGCTCTAGATATGCGAGTATTTTGATTTGTATCCCAATGTGCGGAAGAGTTTTTAGTACTGTAGAAATCAACGATCATGCCAATTGGCCAAAATTCCTTGTTTTAGTCGGTGCAATCGGACGCGACGTCGGTCTCTTCGCAATCTACTTCTGGGGCAGACGAGTTGTCCGATAAAGATGAGGGTAGCAGCTCGTGTGATGAATCGGTTGCGGACCCGAAAGGTTAGATGAAAGAATTGGTTTAAAGGTCCTAAGAAGCCCGAAAATCGACCGGGTTTTATTGACTAGGTTTGGACAGCTACGTGACACTCCTAACAACGGAACAGGCCCCATCAAAGCGGATATAAAAAAAATGCTATCAAAATCCAAGCTACTTGAGCAAGCGCATTTGAAGCAGTCAAGCCGCGTGTCACAAGCGCAGCTGTCTAGAACTAGCCGGGCAATGTTATTAGTTTTTTTAACTAGTCGATGTTAGCGCTTACAAACGTAGAGCGAGAGAAAGAAAGAGGTGAGAGAGACTGTGAGAGAGAGTGAGAGAGAACGAGCAAGATTCGAGCTAGCTTCGAGACTTATCTTAATTCCTAATTGCAGAACTTGCCTCGATCCCAGAAAAGCTCAGAAATGAGTGCGCTACTATTCTGTCCGCCACTCCCGAGCAGTTCGCCCTGGAGCACGATATGATCTTGAAGGATCAGAAGGTATGGACCTAATCCTTCTTATTGAAAATCTACAAAATCGTTGCCTTCCCAGTGCCTTTAAAAACGAATTCAGGATCAACAAGACGACGGTGCGGTGGCCATCGCCAGGGGTCGAGCCATGTTCAACAGCCGCGCAAGTTCGGCGAGTCTATTTTCGGTGAATTTGGGTGGGTTCTAAGGTCATTTTTAGAAATTTGAATTTTTTAGGAAAAATGCGAACGATGAGGCTGTTTTTCTCAAATCCGGAAAATACGTCTGGGCAGCTTGTCATAGGTAAAATGGAGCTAGGAAAGCTGGAGATTACTTGTTTCTAGCCACCCACGACTCGCACTACAAAATTCTCCACTTTCACCACGGTGGGCTCGACAAGCTGGCGCAACTCTTTGAGCAATGGTCGGCGATCAAGGCGAGATCGGTGAAAGAGGTACGGTAATAGGGGCGCAAGTTTGAGATTTAAAGGGACATGCAAGGCTTGACCGGAATTTTTGTTGATATGGATCCCTGAAAGAATTCGCTAGGGCCGTTACACGCACCGCCTCCCCGAAGTTCCAAAGATTTTTTGCCATTTACGCTATTTTATCGGGATTTGGCTACGCCATTTAATAGCGCATCAAAAAAATTTACTAAGACTTGTAATTACGGCCCAAAATAATTTAAGCTAAAAAAAGTTGTAGCAAAAAAACTTTTGGGCACTTTCGGCTCTGGTGGTCTGGATGAACGCATCGCGTGTGCGTTGCATACGTTGCATTCTATCGACATATCTTGTCCGTCCCTTTAAAATACGGACAAATCTGCTTCCAAATACGCGATTATAACGTGAGTTTAGGGCAGCCCCTCCCCAGCCCCGGATCGTCATCTCCTGATTTGCCAACCTGCCGTTAAGAAGAACGAGCTTGATCCGGAAGATGGGCTGTTTGAGAGGGTGCACTGGGATTACTGGAAGACGTTCAAAAATGCCGAGGGCGCAATTCATGATAGTCAGACGATCCGGAAGGTTAGTAGTAGCGCTAGGGAGAGGACAACTCTGTCGTCGTCGCGCGCTTACAGTTCGTTAGTGCAAGCCTTAGAGAAACCGTAGACGCGTATGCACGCGTCTACGAACCCAGAGCCAAAAAAAAAGATTCGATAGCGTTAATATTCCTGTAATTTAAGGCCCTCTACTTTGCATCCATGGAGCCCAATCTTCGAAAGGAAATCTGGCCCTTCCTACTCCGCGTGTACCCTTGGGAATCGACGGTGGAACAGCGAGAGACGATCCGAAATGACCTGTTTCTCGAGTATCAGAATATTAAGCGAAAGAGGTACGTTCCTAAGTACCTCAATACGTTCTGTAAACTACTGATTTGCTTATCGTTGTTATAGACTGAAGAAAGCGGTCAGCTCGAAGCACTGGGATGGGCTGGAAAATACGGTAGTGAAGGATGTCGTGAGAACAGATCGAAAGAATCCATTCTTCGCCGGGGATGAGAACCCGAACGTCGACATGATGAGGTACAAAGAACAATTTAGTAAAACAGCCTATGTGAGAAAAAAATCAGCGTTAAAAATAATGCAGATCGACAAGAAGAAACCCTTAGAAACGTTCATTTCTAGGGATATCCTCCTCAACTACGCTGCGATGTATCCAGATGTTGGATACATTCAAGGAATGTCGGACCTCTTGGCTCCACTGCTCAGCACTTTAAAGTAACCTTTTGATTTCGACTTTACGATGATTTTTCAGAGATGAATCTGAGGTCTATTGGTGTTTCGTTGGGCTGATGCAACAGACGTTGTTCAGCAAGTCGAGTGAAAGCCTGATGGAGCAGAATTTGGTAAAAAATAATGTTATTGCTGGCAACGTTAAGTCTAGGAATACCTTCGTGAGCTCATCAAGCTCCTCGTCCCCGAGGTGTTCAGCTACCTCTGGCAGCTCGGTGGTGATTCGTTGCAGTTCATGTTTGTGCACCGGTGGATTCTGCTATTTTTCAAGGTATGGGCCCAATTTCAAATTTTGCGTCAATGTAATTTTTTTCCACGTACTTTATTTTGCATACAGCTGTATTTTATACCCATTTTGCTCGCATTAAAGGGAGCGTGAAAGGCTCGCCATCAATTTATGCAATCTGATTTTAGAGAGAATTCGCCGAATCTGATGCGCTTCACATCTGGGAGGCGTGTTGGGCCCGATACCGTACCCAATACTTTCATCTATTCGTTTGTGTCGCGATTGTATCCATTTACGGTAAGTAATTATCTAAAATTTGACGTATCTACGCGCTCTCTCTTTCTATCTCTCTCTCTATCTCTCTCTCTTTCTCTCTCTCTCTCGCTCTCTCTGTCTCAGTGTCTCGGGCTTCGATAGTCGAAGCAACAACAACATTCATCCATTTATCCCTAATTTGACCTTCAGGGCCCGACATCATCTCACAAAAACTCCCGCACGACGAGATCTTGCTCTATTTCTCATCCCTTGCCAACCATATGGATGCTCGAGTGGTGTTGAAGAAGGCCAGAGGGCTTTTACACCATTTTGTGAATAGGGAAAAGATTCCGTGCTCGTTGGCAGGTAGGAATTGAAGATACTTACGTTAATACTAATTTGGAACGCTACATAATTTTAAAGGAATCGTGAAGTTTAAATTTTCAGGAGTCGTCGAGTCGAGCGGGATGTCACAATGGGATTCGCACAAGAAGCTACAGGCCTATGAATGTGTTAAGGTGAGGAAAGTGTTTTCTAACGATATCTCTCTCATCTCTCTCTCTCTCTCTCTCTCTCTCTCCTCTCTTCTTGCACTCTTTCTCTCTATTTTCCCTCTCGCGCATCCTCTCTTTCTCTCTATCTCGCGCCCGCTCTCCCTCGCTTTCACACATTTACGTACGCTCTGTCTCCCTCTCTCTATCTCTCTCTCGCTCTCTCTCTCTCGCGCGCGCCCATTCTCTTCGCCGGGCATCTAGCAGAAAACCTTTAGGAAAGTATCGAAGCCAAGCAAAGTATTATTTCATCATTTTCAGAAACACGGCGACGACGAGCCATGCCCATATGCCTAATTCACATCCTTCCCCCGTCCTCCATCAATGCGGTAATATATCGACAATTGCCATATCGACCCTCCTCCAGCTCGTGTGTTTGTGTGTGTAAAATATTATGTATTTGGGATAGATTAAAAGAAATAAAGCATACATTTTTTTTATTGGTAATCATACCCAGCAATAGGGGGAAGCGCACAAGGGGTTTTGGCTCGAAAAACAGACAGAAAAGTGGATAGTGTACTGTAACGGAACCCAAAAATTCGCATATTTTAGTACAGTTTTGAGATCTATGGGATGTAGTTCAAGCTCGTGAATTTGTGAGTGGAAAATAAAGGAAAACCGAATCAGACTTGTACCCTAGAAAATTGGCTGATTTTTGGTGTGGAATTTTGGCTATTTTTCAATGTTATTTGGGTTAGCAGTTCGTGTCCGGATTCTGGGGCTACGGGCTCGTGGCGACGCATCAGGACGCTTCTTGGCCTCGGCGGAAGCAGTCGTCTGGAAATAGACGGTTTAAAGGGAGTGTGAGAGTTTCATATTTCGCTATAGTACCCTCTGTATTTCACGGTCTCGCTCTGGCTATCCGCCTCTCCTCTCTCGCTGACTCTCCATCTCGCTGTTGCTCGCTCTTTCTCTCGACCTCACTATTTCTCTTTTTTGCACTCTCTCCCTCTCTCTGTCTCTCTCTCCCTATCTCTCTCTTTCTCCCTCTCTCTCTGCCTTTTTCAGGTGCACGGACGGTAAGCCTTACCTTGATCGGCGCAGGACCCTGTCGTTGAGGTGTCGAAGCGGTTATCACCCTCCCCGATGGCTTCGGTTGTGGTATCCCAGTCCTTGTTGAACTTGGCGCGGAGGTAGAATTACTTTTAGCGGGCGCTCCAGTTGTAGTTGGCGTCCGCTTTGGCACGGTAGCTACCCTCGAAGTCCCTGCCAAGGGTGGGTCAGCTTTTGGCATCGGCTTCACCACGCTTTTCGGCTTTTCGCCATTGTCCTTTGGCGGGGATGGGCCGGGAAGGTTTGCTAAAAAGCGTTCAATTACCGTATGCGGATTTTCTTGCTTACCTGTCCTCACCGGATCGTTGTGGATGATGGTGTGCGTGTTTTGGCGTTCCATTTTGTGCTGAAAATTGGGGAATAAGCATAGAAAATTGCCGTTTTTCTAACTACGAATAATTCAAGAATTTCGATCGATGATTTGATGCTTTTTTGGTACTGTTTAGCTGACTTTCACTACGTAATCGATTGAGTTCTGCTACATTTAGTAACTTTAGCGAGCCAGAAATATTTGTTATATTCCTTTCCAGTACTATTGAACGCGTTTACCGTTGCGTAATCGATTGGATCAAGCGACTTTTAGCAAATTTTAGTCTGAATTTGGAAAATGGGCTTTTTTGTCGCTTTTGCACCGAATTTAATGCGTTTTCCATTTCGCAATCGATTGTTTTGACGCATTTTTGGTATTTTTTGTAAATTCTGAGCTTGATTTTCGATAAAAAATAATTTTCCCTACCTTTTTTGGGCAGTTTGATTTGTTTTTTATAGCGTAACCGATTGAGTTGAGCAATTTTGAACATTTTTTTCAGCAATTTTTGAGCTTGATCATGAGTTTTGAGCACCAATTTTCCGCATGCACTATTCAATTCTTGCCAAACAACTTCTTCACCCGCCCCATAAATCCTTGCAATTTTTTCCGGCCAACCTCTTCGAGATCCTGGATCCGCTTCTTGGTCGGCGATTTTGATTTCGTAGCCGATTTCTGCGGAGTTTGAGCAGCTGCAGTTCCTTTTTTCTCAACTTTCTCAGGCTTGGCTTCAGCGGCTTCAACTTCCGAGCCCTTCGAGCTGCTGGGTTCGGGTTCTGGAGCGATTTCGACGGGTTTTGGAGGTGCTGGCTTTTTTTCTTCGGCTTCTGGCTGTTTTGGCTTTGGTTTTTCGACCGGAGCTTCAGCTTTGGCTTCGGTTTTCGCTTCCGGTCTCGGTGTTCTTGGTGTTACTTCTTTGACAGTTCTTGGGGTGGATGCTCTAGACGTTGCCCTTGAGGAATTTCGGCTTGATCGTGGCCTGGGAATTCCGGATTCGGCGGGTTGGGATGGCTTCTCTTCCTGAAACCAAATAGTTAATGTTAGATACAATAAAATTTTCTTACCTTTGTGGGCGTTGGCTGCCGTTGCGGTTTCCTGGGGCTCTGCTGCCTTGGGCTTTGCTTCTTGGCCTCGGCCGATTGAGTTGTTTTATTTTCTTGGCCGGTCCTGGGTGATCTTACGGCGCTGGTGCTGGGTTTTGGTTCTTCGAAGACTTCCTGAAAATCATTGAAAGCTGTTTTAACAAGTCAGGCTAAAGAGGCCCTACTAGGTTGCCCCATTCACACAAAAAATCTCGAGAAGCGGAAATTCCCAAATGATCTCTGCAAGTCTACCCCGCGAAGCGATGGGCCGATGACTCTCGCATACCATCTCACACTCTATCTCACCTTCCACGCTCAATCTCGCACGCTTACCGAACTCCGAAAACCATTCTGCGACTGACCCAGTACACGCTCTCTCTCTCCCTCGCTCTCCCACTCGCTGTATCCCATATCATCTCCAGTTTGGGTGTACGTTTGGGATGTCTTTATCACCCAAACCCAAACGACCCAAGCTCTGCATGTACCCACCTTCTCATCCTCAATCGGCTCCGACTCGGGATCCCGGCTTTTGCTGCATCATCGTCAGCGGCTTGTGCCGCCCAAACTCCTTCCCCTTTCGGGGTGTGCCAGATGGCCCATTTGTACTTCCAGCCGATGCACTGCGTTTTTCGTATGCT